AGATTTGGGATGGATGGGGGGAGCTTTTGGGCTCTTCTCTTGAACTCTATCATCTCCTTCAAACGAGAAGGTGGTGTTGATATCCGAGTTTGATCCTCGGCAAATGAAATTGGTATGGCCTAAAGGCTTGGGTGGGACAATCTGTACGAGAAGGCAAGGTTTAGAGATGAATTGCAGATCTGGATCTCATCGATTATCGAATAGTTCAGTATATTGTTATAGCAGTAATGTAAGCTAGTGTGAACTAAAGCAGTTGGACACACGTCATTACAGCTGTAAGTGAGCAAATGAGTTATGACTATTTGACCACAGGTGTAACAAACTGTTACTAATCTATTGATAAGTAGTTTATTACACGTTGGCAGATGGTTGTGGCAGCTATTGCTAGGCGAAGGAAGTTGCTCAACGATGATGTTCTGATATCATTAGCTGATACTTCCTAGGAAATCCTAGGTGTCTCTGGTTCAGATGTTTCTGATTTTGGCATAGTAAAAGCTGCTGAAGTATGCAGGCTTATTAGAGCTCTGAATATTAGGTATAGAGCTTTGGCTCTTCAATGTATTAACATAGCAAATAAATGCCATAGATATTTCATGATTTTTAGTCTCTTAACATGTGATATATATTATAAATAATCATAACTAATAAGCTTTGATGATGCTAAAAGAATGCATGATAAACATAATGCAAATTGACCAGCTGGATTGCAAATTATTTGGTGGACTCAGCCATTTAAACTATTCCATGAGGTTATTCAAATTGTCTAATTACTATTGAGAATTCAGGTTTAATTTTCTAACTACAGATGATGTACTTTGTTGGTTCTGTTGTCCATAGCTTATAGCTGCCATGCCATTTCTCCCTTAGGAAGATCCTATTGTTATTATTATTTGGTCTAATCTGATTGTTGATTTTTTTTCCTGTACTTGTTGATATTATTATTTAGGTTATCCTGAGATATCTTTAGTTTAGAATCTGATTTGATTTAATGAGTGTAACCTTAGCCTTTTTGCTATATGTATGAGTTTATGAAGCTAATAGAATTGAAGCAGACTCTCAGTTACTCTTCTGATTACATGCTTCCACCAGATGTTATAATTATACTGAATTTTCTTTGCTTTTTACCGGCCCAAACAAACATCTTGCTGATTTTTCAACAGCTGTACAATTTGCATCCGCAAGTAGCTAGCTAGACATCAGCATATTGTAATTCGTGGCCCGCATGATATAAGATATGCACTTTTCTTGTACTTTAGATTAACTTGCTTCTCTATCTTATGAAGCCTCTTGATATATTGTCACTGTTTCGCAGCCAGTGCAGCAAAATTACTGCTATGGGTGTATCTGAACTTGTGAAGCAGTGCTCATTGCTGGAGACATTAAGATGCGGTTATGTACCTTTTCTGTCTTGTAGACATCTTTAATGTTCTTCCTTTCTTTGTTTTATACCACGTTGTTGAAGAAAAGGAATATATCTGAGAGCCAAAAAAGGGCCAGTGTGCGCTTGAAAATGGGAAATTCAATGGGAACTAGACCAAAGCCAGTTGGCAGTTGCAGATTAGGGCATTGAGCAAGATTTAAAGCATTCACAAATGAATGGCCTGCTCATATGGCCAAGACTATATTCGAGAGAGAGTAAACATGAGACTTTGATATTTTTAGGCAGAAGTTTCTATTTTTTGATGATTTTGTCTTTGCAGTGGATTTGTAGTAATCGTGTTTCCTTTGGATAAATTCGAGCATGGAAGAATTCCTCATATGTATTTCATATCTCCTATGCGATTCAGTCATTGTACAGATGGCACAAGTCATATGTCAATTTGTCTCTCTGATTCCTCTATTGCGTAGGTGCTGATTTTTATGGTTGACTTTATAGGGAGTTAATTGAATGTCTTAACATGGTTTTGTGTGCAAAGCTTTTCATTAATTGAATGTCTTAACAGTTTCTGATGAATTTAGGAATTAGGATTGGTTATCGTGCAAGTACAACTAAATAGCTCAACAATTTCATTTATTCACATATGCATAAATGGATGAATCTTCTATGTGAATTTAAAGCAGTCCAGTACCAGTCACCTTTGTTATTTGAGATTTATGATTAATACTGGTAATTTAGTTCGATAAAGAAAATTAAAAGTTTGAAGCCTCATTATTCATTCCATGCATTGCATAGCGATTTACTTTTTGGCCACTATTGGGAGATACATGTGTTTTAACTAGGATTAAATTTCATAACAGGCAATGAACTATAGTTAATGTTGCAGAGGGTGTCCAAGGAGTGACAGCATTGCCCGTTGATGCTTAAGTATATTTAAACCAAAGCTGAATTACTTGGAGGAAGATTCATGGGAGGAGCTTGATACAAATGCAATTGCTTGTGGTGCCCAATCTTTGAGATGGCTTGTATGGGTATAGACTCAAACTCTTCTCATCTCAATTAGGGTAACTTTTATCTAATTGCAGATTCTGTTCTTGCTGAATTGCAGATGTATAATTTACCTTGAGTTTGGAATGTTGATAGCTTTTGTGCACATATCTGGACAGGGCTTCTAGGATAGGATTAGAAGAAAATGAGGGACATGATTATGCTTAAAACTCATTTTTTTGCCTGCCAAAATAAAAACTTGAGATCTTCTAGCCAACCTATCAGTGATGATTCCCTTGTTCGTCGATAAAATAAGACTCTTCCTTGTTTTTTAATTAAATTTTGACGGACATGGGTTTCAATTAGTATAGGAGGAAGCCCAATGAGAATGTGAGAGCAGATCGTGTGAGTGAAGGATGTTTTGGGTATTTCTTAATTGGCAGTTAAAGAGGAAGGGTGTGAGTATATTGGGGCGTTGGTTGTTGTCAGAGGCATTGAAAGTATTGAGATGTGTTGGGAGAATCTGTGATTGGATAATACTAGTTTTCTTTTGACTAGAATCTACTCCATACGACTTACAGTCTGAAGGAATTTTCTGTGATTAAATAATACTAGTTGCTGGAGTTGTTTCCATGATGTTTAAAATAGAATTTGCTAAATTTCACCTGCATTTTTATCTTTCTTCATCCGAATATTGATAAGGATTCTTTAGAAGATTTCTCTGCATAGTGTCCGCGCATTGTAGTAAATCCTAAGCAATCTCCTTTTGGATTCAACGATGATCATGTTCCTTGGGAAGCATTACAACATATTACATTGGACGATGCGGCTATTAGAGATATTGATCCCAGGACATGGGCAGTGCACGGATTTATTATGAAGGCCGCCCCTCCATCCCCTGAATGTCCCTCTGAATTGTCAGTGGCTGAGAAATTCAGACTAGCATTTGTGGAAAGGGACACCCGTTTAGCTCCAAAGCGAGCAAAGAATGCGCGGCAGCACCAGCGTCGTGCTGTGAGAGAGTTGATGTTGATGAGTGCAAGAGCCAAGGCCGCCGTTTTAGCCTCTCAAGTAACCAACACTCTGAACAGTAGGAGTTAGTGAGTTTTTTTGTATATATGTTGGTCACAAAAAACCTGTGTTTGTGTGTGTGTGATGCAAGTTAGGCAGCATTTCGAAGAAGCTGGAAGCACCTTTACCAAGTTTGAGTGAACCCAGTTTTGAGTTTCTGTGTCCTGAAACTACTTTTAGAACTGTCAGTAATTAAGTGCCTTATATATAATACACTCAATAGAATTACAATCAACCAAATTAGATCTTTATAGTCACGTGGTATGCACTTAGAGACGGTGATCGGATGAGACTGCTCAAACGTCATCCTCTCTTTCTTTTACTTTTTTCCTATCTCTTTTTTTAAGTAAATTTTTCCCATCTCTTTTTTCCTCATTATATGCAAATATGCAATTACTTTTGCAGTTCAAAAGATCTTAGACAACTATCCAAGTGAATGTTTACTTTTAAATTACAAACAAGTGAATGGTTACTTGTCACCTGCGTGACTTGGAAATCCTACGCTTTTAGAAGTAGACCGATCAAAATCTTGCATAAAACAGAAAATTGACTATATAGTTAGATCGTTTGAAACAACTTATAAATAGCTTATAAGTAGCTTTTCAATAGTAATTTACAGGATACGAGGCAAATGTGTGAGAAGAGTTTTGTTTTGACTTACGTGAAATGTGCTTATAGAGAATTTCTTAAACCCTCCCAGACAGGCCCAGTACCTGTTTGCTTTAGCGTTTTAATAGGAGAAAAGTAACTTATTGAAACAAAATGTACGATTGTGTAGATTGAATGAAATTTGGCGTGTTTGTAATGACGTTGGAGCAATTCAACTTTTGGATTAAAAGCCACCATAAGTTATAAGTAAAAATTTGAAGCTTATGACTTTTGAAAAGTGGAGAGAGAAGATAAAAAAAGAAAGTTGGGCCCCATGCTTTTAAAAGAATTTATCTTAAATTACATTATACCATCTTATATTCAAACTTAGACTTGAATTCTTTCTAATACAAAATATAAGCATCACAATTTTCATATTAGTATAATATATATATACACACTAATTATTAATATAAGAGCTACATAACAAATTTGTGAATATTTAAAAAATTACTTAAATTAATTATTTGTAATAAATAGATGTTATCTTCTATAAAACACTCTCATAAATCATGCCCATTGAAAGCTACCTCTTAACGAAAACTCATTAACATGTGTAATAACTATAACGTAAGGATTACTTAGGGGAAAAATAGATAAATATTGGAGACAAAATGAATTATGATCTTATATTTATGACCAAATTAAGTGTCCAACTAGTTCTTATATTAAGGATCAGAGATCATATTATTTAATAAAATTCATACCCTTTTTAGTTATTTTACCACTTCATTATTGTTCTTTTTATATTTACATAAATCATGCATAGTATATCATCTAATTAATTATATAATATTATTTGGTTCAAAAATTTTCATATTACTATCATTTCTAATTTAAATATATTTTATTCGTTAAATATAACTTCTTTCTATTATAATAATTTACAATTATTATATTTTGTAAATTCATATTTTTTTATTATTTAATAAAAATCATAACCATTTTGGTTATTTTACAAACTAAACTTATTTATTTAATTATAATCCAACCAACTTTTTTATTTTACAAACTGACTTTCATAAAAGTCAATCCAAACATAAATTATATTACCCAATATAACTTTGACACAATTTCACTTTTTTAAAAGTCAGATTAAAAATAAATTATCTTTTCTACTGTTAATCCAAACAGATCCGGCTGCGGTTCAAGTGTGTGCTTGGCAGTTTTTAAATTTCGCTTCATGGAACCAGTCAATTCAAAAATCAATAAAAAGATTAGAAGGGGAAGAACTTGTGGGAGAGGCCAAAGAGAAGAACTTGAGGGAGTGAAAAATTATTCTTGCTTTAAAGCTCCATACAACCTAAAGTTTTAAGCAAAAGAAATTATAATAATAGAAACTCCACTGAATTGAAAATCCGTGTTAGTTTTGGAGGTCACTAAGAATAGCGTGATAATATTTTTTTTAATAAAAATTTTTAAATTCAATAAAACAGTAAAAAAAAGAAATATGAACAATTATCACTGTAAATATAAGTAAAGTATATGAAGATTGTATCAATGATTTGTATTGTTTCAGTCTTAAGTTTATGTAACTTCTACGTCCAATCTCCAAAGTAGATATGGGCTATTCTACCATCTTCTCCTAGACTAAAATGAGATCCTGACTCTTACATCTACAAACTTCTCGCTTGTCATTAGTATTTAGTTCTCCCTAAAAAGATTTAATTTAGTGGCTACTTGATATATTCCTATTTTATAACACATTTTTATATTTAATTAAGGAATTTTACAAGCTCGCTTGATATTTGTGGGCATCATTCCTGTGCTTGTATTTGTGGCTTCGGCCATGCTTGCTAGTTACTTACCCTCGTAGGCTATATATCCATGCTTGTTGCTCGTGAAGTGTCTCATCCCTAAAGCACTCAAATTATTCTAAATTAATGTAGTATAGTAGCACAACCTAAGTTGTATTGTTTATGCATAGTCAATTTAAATTTGATTCTAAGGGGGTGTTTGGACAGAAACCAAACCATAATTTCAAAAATACTTTTACGGTTTACGAAATAAATATGTGAAGGAATTTGTTTCATTTTGTGAAAAAGTTCTTCTTAAAAGCACTTTTGAGGGTTGCCTAACACCCCCTAAAACTAGTTAAATATGAAAGACACAATCAAAGAAAATAAAGGAAATAGAAGAAATATGTTTTTAAGATTTTAATTTTATAAATGAATAAAACCTAAAGAAAGAAATAAACAAATATGATAGTGAATCTTCCTGAGGATAGATACATGATTATCACAGTTCAAATAGATATGAAGTTGATTTTACAAAGTCTAAATATAAACCATAAGGACTAGAACTTAGCATGTGATTCAATTTAATTTATAGTTTGTCCCTTAAAATAGAATAATGACGGATTAATTCAAAATATAATTGATCCATGCATCCCAAACAATATTATTGCAGAAAAACAAAAATTAATTATAAGAGGAACAAGATACATGAATGAAGAACATCAAATCATAAAATATAAATTGAACCACAAAAAGTTTGATACAAAGATTATCAACTTGAAAAATCAAAGTCTCATATATGAAATTCCAAAACTCAAAACTCTAAGAAATCATTAAATTCATAAAGAGAACAATCAAACTACAACTCTCTAATGAAGAACAAGAACTCAAGACATAAGATCTATCCTCAAGAATTAAGGACTAGCCACACATGGCG